CATTGCTGTGCTGTATGTGTATAGGTCATTGCTGTGCTGTATGTGTATAGGTCATTGCTGTGCTGTATGTGTATAGGTCATTGCTGTGCTGTATGTGTATAGGCCAATGTAGTTGGATCTGTATGTGCGTTATCATTCATGGAACACGAAAATGTTAATCAGTAGCAGCCCTATAATATTGTTCAATAATAATTGTGTCTAAGGCGACTTTCAGCAGAATATTATATTTACTGTTCTCAGTCATGAAAAGAAATGAATGAAAGAGCCCTTGTTAGGCCGTATGTGTGATTGTAACGCGGCCTAGCTCAAGGCCAGTCCTTATCTGGTGGGTGACGCTTCTCACCATCCATAACCGGAGGATATCACTTCCTGGCTGTTCCGTATCACGTTGATGGTTCTTCTCACCAGTTACTAGCTGGGAATGTGCGGGATACGTTTCCAAGAAACATTTCTCAACGTTTTTGTCTGGAATTCATAAACTTAAGTTCCATTTAGATCTGTTAGTACACAATGGCTTCCAGGATGCCATCTCACAATGTGTAGAAGAACATGTGTAGGCCTTATGGTCCCATTCTTTAGCCTCAATAGTTCTGACAGTATTGTAGGAGTGTCTGGGACCGGGTGTGGTACGCAGAGCGTTAATGAAGGTGCTGAGACCGTGCAGAGGGGTAATGAAGGTGACGAGAACGTGCAGAGGGGTAATGAAGGTGACGAGAAAGTGCAGAGCAGTAATGAAGGTGACGAGAACGTGCAGAGGGGTAATGAAGGTGACGAGAATGTGCAGAGCGGTAATGAAGGTGACGGGAAAGTGCAGAGCAGTAATGAAGGTGACGAGAACGTGCAGAGCGGTAATGAAGGTGACGAGAACGTGCAGAGCGGTAATGAAGGTGACGAGAACTTGCAGAGGGGTAATGAAGGTGACGAGAAAGTGCAGAGCGGTAATGAAGGTGACGAGAACATGCAGAGGGGTAATGAAGGTGACGAGAACGTGCAGAGCGGTAATGAAGGTGCCGAGACCGTGCAGAGGGGTAATGAAGGTGACGAGAAAGTGCAGAGCAGTAATGAAGGTGACGAGAACGTGCAGCGGGGTAATGAAGGTGACGAGAACGCGCAGAGCGGTAATGAAGGTGACGAGAACGTGCAGAGCAGTAATGAAGGTGACGAGAACGTGCAGCGGGGTAATGAAGGTGACGAGAACGTGCAGAGCGGTAATGAAGGTGACGAGAACGTGCAGAGCGGTAATGAAGGTGACGAGACCTTGAAGAGCAGTAATAAAGGTGACGAGAACGTGCAGAGCAAGAATGGTAATTTGAAGGTTGTGAAGAAAATATTTAACTGAAGAAGGAAATTGTATGATCATGGTATTCGTGTGACTGATCCGGCCTCGGGAGTACAAGATGGCGAAGTCGACAATCTGGACTATTTTGAAGAAGAAAGACGCCATGAAAGCAGCTGATGTGGGAAAAGGAGTAACAATGTTGAGCAGGCAGAGGACAGAAGTACTGGAAGAGGTGGGAAAACTTCTGTTAGTGAGGCTGATCTGTGAACAAGCCGGGACATTGCACAGTGATGAATGTAAAGCCGGTAGAGGCGGTTTGATACATTCCGCGAGAGAAGCGGCATGCGCGGTGTGATAAGACGCCGCCTCTCATTTCCGGAGGGTTCTGAAGCGCAGGGAAAAACAAGTGACATTAGACGGATTTCCCCCCAAAGAGACAAAGAGGAGGAACCCCTGGAGGAACCCCCCCCCCCGCCCCCC